ATTGATTCAGGTGATAGATCTGGTAAGCAAAATGTTGATGCACATGATGATCCCGTCGTTGATGATGAACATGTCACTCTCACTCCAAATCAGCCTATTGTTCCACCTAGTTGGAATCTTGCACGTGACAGAGTTAGGTGTGGTATCAATAAATCTGATAGGTTAATTGAAGAGTGCAATATTGTTTCTTTTGCTTTATCTGTTGCAGAAGAAATTGAAGGTAATGCTGAGCCTTCTTCATATTCCAAGGCTATTGTTTCTGGAGATAGTAATAAGTGGATGGCCGCTATGCATGATGAGATGGAATCACTTGAAAAGAATGGCACTTGGGATTTAGTAAAATTGCCTAGAGAGAAGAAACCTATTCGTTGCAAGTGGGTTTTCAAGAGGAAAGAAGGTGTTTATCCTAATGATGAGACAAGATATAAAGCAAGGTTAGTTGCTAAAGGTTATAGTCAGATTCCAGGTATTGACTATAACAAAGTCTTTTCTCCTGTTGTGAAGCATAGCTCTATTCGCACTTTACACAGTATTGTTGCCATGCATGATCTTGAGCTTGAACAATTGGATGTTAAAACTACATTCTTACATGGAGAATTAGAAGAGGATATTTATATGGAACAGCCTGAAGGTTTTGTTATTCTTGGAAAAGAAAAGCTTGTCTGTAAGTCAAAGAAATCTCTTTATGGATTTAAGCAATCCCCTAGACAGTGGTACACGAGATTTGACACCTTTATGCTCTCTTAAGGTTTCAAAAGGTCTAATTATGATAGTTGTGTTTATTTCAAAACTATCAATGGTTCAACTATTTATTTGCTCCTTTATGTTGATGATATACTAATTGTTGCAAAGAGTATGTCAGATATTGATGAACTAAAGAAGCAATTGAGTAATGAATTTGAGATGAAGGATTTGGGTGCAGCAAAGAAAATACTTGGCATGGAAATATCCAGAGATAGACCATTTGGAAAAGTGTATCTAAGTTAGAAGGGATATATTGATAAAGTTCTTCGTCGTTTTAATATGCATGATGCCAAGCCGGTGAGTACTCCATTAGTTGCATACTTCAAATTATCATCAGCTTTATGTCCTAAGTCAGATGCCGATGTTGAGTACATGTCTAGAGTTCCCTATTCGAGTGTAGTTGGTTCACTTATGTATGCCATGGTTTGTTCTTGTCCGGAATTATCATATGCATTGAGTGTTGTCAGTAGATACATGGCTAATCCTTGGAAAGAGCATTGGAAAGCAGTTCAGTGGATTTTCAAATACCTGCGTGGTACTTCTAATGCTTATTTACAGTTTGGGAAAACTAGAGATGGACTTGTTGGTTTTGTTGATTCTGATTTTGCTGGTGATTTGGATAAGAGAAGATCACTCGCAGGTTATGTTTTCACCATTGGTGGTTGTGCTGTGAGTTGGAGAGCAACTTTGCAGTCTATTGTGGCTTGTCCCGCTACTGATGCCGAGTATATGGCTATTTCTGAGGCATGCAAAGAAGCTATCTGGTTGAAAGATTTATATACTGAGCTTTGTGGAGATTCATCTTCCCCTACCGTATTTAGTGACAGTCAAAGTGCTATATATCTTACAAAGAATCCAATGTATCATGAGAACAAAACACATTGATGTCAGATATCACTATATTCGAAATGTTGTTGCTGAAGGTGATTTTAATGTATGCAAGACAAGCACTCATGATAATCCTGCTGATATGATGACAAAGCCAGTTCCTACCAATAAGTTTGAGCTTTGCTCAGGCTTAGTTGGTATTTCTCACTAGTCCTATGGACTTTGACGCACAAGGTGTTTATGCTGATTTGGATGGAGCTATTCACTTTCTTCGACTACTGGAGGGAATTTGGCTCAAGGTGAAGATTGTTAAATTGTTCTCCAAATTCTACCGTATTGGACTAGACGTAGTACATATGGTGTGGGCCTTTGCGTTGGTACCGACGCGTATGAGTATAACTCGTTTACTTGTCCTACAAGGACTCCTATGTGTTGGCCCTCATATATACTTCATGTAGTCGCACCTAAGACGGTCTGTCGTCTCGTACTTGTAATACTCCTCCTCGTAGTAATTGCGCCTTTGTGCGTCCGTGGTTTTTTCCCGCAAGGGTTTCAACGCTAAATCTGTATCTTTCGTGTCTCGTTTATTTCTCGTTATTGTCTAACAGAAGTTAAAATAAATTACCCACCTCGCCACACGTAAAAGTGAAAATAATAAGTGTTCCTCTGAATTATTCATACTTCATAGGGCCTTTCAGTTTTCATCCACCCTGAGACTGACCTTTCTTTTTCTTCTCATAAATGGATCGAGGATGTACTGAAAAAAATACAAGCATCAAGTATCAAGTCGAGCATCGAACCATTGTGAGCATCTTAGAATGCATGTATCTTACGTCCGCATACGTGCTGGTTGGTGCACACATATTGAAATATGTGTATATACATGTAGTGTGGATATTTAAAACTTGATTTGAAAACCATGATTTTATTATCCATTGCAACGCACGGGCCTTTTCCTAGTCATAGTTAAACGAAAATAGTAATTGGCAAACGTTCACAGGAAGAAACTGCCAGTGAACGCCCTAGCTGCTACACAATCTTAATCTTATGATGTAGTTTGGATGACATTTTATCCTCAAAATTAAACAAATGCCATGGCAGTTTTGCAAAAAGGCCACCCAGGTTCTTCAAATGCATTGAAAATTGCCTGACGAATGTTCGTAAATGCCATTCCGTGGCGAACATTCGCCAGATTTGCCCATCGTAGTTAAAGGCGTAAACCTGCAGTTCATATAGACTTTATATCTTCCATCATATTAAAAATTTATATCATCATTTTTCACAAACTTTGCATGGAAGCCTTCGTTCTCTTTTTTTGTGGGACCTCGTCAGAGGGCGGAGGGTTCCCACTATTTCATTAAATGAAGAGTTGATCCAATTAACGAGGGAAACCGGATCAAAAACCATACACGTCTTGGTTAATTAAGGAAAACCAAGAAAAATCAAACACAAGCACAAAAGAAACAAGAACTAGAGCTAGAGGAAGGGGTTTAAACATCATCTTTTTTTTAGAAACTTGAATATCTTCTAAGCCCAAAACAAGAGCGCCAAGGCCCAAAACCACCAGACGCAGCATATGTCCAGCCAAAGCGACCACCATACTCGCAAGATATCTCAAACACCCCGAGAGTCTCAGACCGCCATGTATCGGAGCAACGTGAACTAACATTTAGCACTGACCCCCTTTGATTTACCGTCGATGGTCGCCAAAGCTCTGAAGCCCTCATTCTCACGTTGTAGGTCCAAGAGTTTATACAGGCATCAAAATTTCCCACCCGTGGTTTACGCGAGAGCCTCAGAAATGCACCACATGAGCTCTCACCAAAAGAACATAAACAGATACTCCCTCCGTCCCAAAATTCTTGTCTTAGATTTGTCTAAATATAGATGTATCAAGTCATGCTTTAGTACTAGATACATCCGTGTTTAGACTAATCTAAGACAAGAATTTTGAGACGGAGGGAGTATAACCAAGCAGCCAGCTTGGTAAGCTACCAACAACAAATTGCAATAAAAGAACATAAACAGATACAACGAAAGCAGAAGAACGTAATGTCGTTTTTTACTTTAGCAAGTTTTTGACCAACCGCATCTGTCACAGGCTCGATGACACGCTATCATAACCAAGTTTGCCACATGATGGCTTATTGCGAAAGCACTGTACAGAAGTCCCAGCCAGGATAGAACTCGCCTTTTCAATGAACGAGGCTCTATTCTCATGACATCTCAAGTCATCTACAGCTTGGATGGGCGCTGGTACCATCCGTATAGCTCATCTTTGCAGTACCTGGTGACTTGCTTCACGCTCAAGTAGTTCTCGAGGCCCCTGAAAGCAAAACAGCAGACAGTTCAGAAGATACTTTCAGGGGCAGTGCAGTTTGCGAACCATAGCGCTCATGAAGTAACTCACCATTCTCCTAGCTCCCGGCCAAAACCACTCCGCTTGTTCCCTCCCCACGGAGCTTGAACAAGGGTCGGTTGCGAGCAGTTTATCCAAACAATGCCTGAGTGAATAACCTGCAGGTGTGGGATTGTACGTTTACCTATCAGCTCACCGAATATTTCGAATACTTCGATTGCATCACATGCTACAAATTTACAGGCGCACTTGAATCTACCTTTGCAATGCGCTCACACCTCTCTAGATCATCAGAGATCACACCACCAGCCAAGCCATAGCTGAAAACAAAATGGCAGAGAAGTCAAGGGAACGATATAAGCACGGGCATTTTTTTTTCAGGCTTGCGCAATCAGGTAACTCACTGGGTATCATTTGCAAGCTCTACAGCTTCGCTCTCTGTCTTGAATACTTTGACACAGATGACTGGTCCAAAGACTTCCTCTCTCCAAATTTGCATTGATGTGCTAACATCTGTTATAATTGTAGGTTCAATAAAGAACCCTTTTCCGAGATGCTGCCATTTCACAAACGTAGCTTGGATGAATAACCGAGAGACAAGAGCATGTAATGTAATGACCAATGCTTACCTTTGGTCGGTCACCACCATGCAAAATTGTAGCACCTTCACTTCTTGCTGTGGAGATGAACTTCTTAATCTTTTCATACTGAAATAAGAAAAGAAAAATGGCTCTCTATTATAAGGGAACTCTAAGGTGGTTGCAAAAGCATAACTGGATATACAAGCTAAATGGTAGTTTGCAAAAGAGAAAGTCAACAGTTAACAATTTATTGCATTGCAGGTCATCCCTGTTATCTCGAAGAGGGATTATCGGTTTTAAGTTCAATTTCACACCAAAGTGTGAACATGTTTACCAAAATGTACATATTTGCATCCAAGCTACAAAAGTGCAATACGCTCCATTTGAGTTACCTGCCCTTTGCTGATGACTGAACCCAGCCTACAACCTTCTTCCAGTGGGTCTGAGATTTTTATGTTCTTTGCCCATTCAACTAGTCTATCTAAAAATCACTCTGCAATTTTCTCCTGTGAAAGAGTGGATCTTCATGTCATCTATTAGAAAATGGCCTGATTTTCCAAATAAAATAAAATCCAGGAGAGCATACATACATGGAGAAGTAGACGAGATGTTGCACTGCAAACTTGACCACTATTGAAAAAACAACCAAACATGGCCCATTCAACAGCTGTTTCAAATTCAGCAAGACTTCAGCACAGCAATCCACAAATTAGCTAAGACTACGTATCAATGGAATATGTAAAATTGGCAATTGTTCTTCCATAACCCAGAGATTATAGACTGAGTTAAAGTGGAAAAAATGGATTAGGAGCATAGTGCAACATCCATGAGAGGAAGATACCTTTGTCAATGTCAGCAACATCATCAAAGATAACAAGAGGACTTTTGCCACCAAGCTCTAATGAAACAGGCTGTTGAAGAAGATAATACACAACAGTATCAGTATAAAGGAAACATAGATGCCTAATTCACAGATTACTTTGCATCGGCTCTTTAACCGAAGCACAGAACATCACAAGTCATAGCAACTGAAATATATAGAGAACACACCTTAACCATTTGGGCAGCAGCGGTCATTATCGTCTTACCAGTTGCGGTACTTCCTGTAAAAGCAATCTACAGAAAGGATCGAAAGATAATTTTAGAAGCTTGAAGACTGAGGGTGATCATATAAGATTACACCTTCGTATATCCATGAGCATATGACAATTCATATTCAAAGAATAGGTCTGACCTTATCCACATGGGGATGTGAAGCTATTGGAGCACCAGCGTCAGGGCCCAGACCAGTAATTATGTTCAGAACTCCTGAAGGCAGTCCTATCTCTTCACATATTGCACCGAGCTCTAAGCAAGTTCTGTTTTTGAAAAAAATAGTCATGGATACAATAATAATTCGAAGGACTGGACTTAACTAAAAGGCATCGGGCCTTACAGAGAAGCCAGCTCAGATGGTTTTAACACAGCTGTACACCCAGCAGCCAGGGCAGGTGCAACCTTCCAAGTAGCCATCAACAGAGGATAGTTCCTTCATTTGCACAAGAGAAAGCAAAGTAATTAGAAGTTTAGAACTATTAACTTCAAAGACACCGAGTTATCAAATTCAGCAGGCAACCAATGCAAAATTATTAATTAATGACCTGTTGTTTCCATTTAAAAATTAAAACAAATGACCAGTGGTTTAGCCTGTACTCGTATAAGATTTAATGTTCAATACCATGGAAGAAGAAAAGATCTGCCATGAACTATAAGACCTTGGAATCTCAAGGATAACAGCTTAAGAAGTATTAAGAAGAAAAAATGACAAGTGAACCTATAAAAAAATGCTATGATATCCGCATATAGTGTGGATCAAAATCCAAGAGAAATGGTTGCAATATATACCAGGGAGTGATGAGTCCAACAACCCCGATGGGTTCTTTAAGAACATAGGTCTTGAATTCTTCCATGGGCAGAGAGATTGGCGCATGTTGTTTACCATCTAAGGCTTCAGCCAGACCAGCATAGAACTCAAAGCATGCAGCAACATCGTCCTAAGTAGGATGGAAAATCATCAAACAAAACATGGAGCGTCTTTAGGCACACTAAACATTATAACATGAATAATTGAAAATACCATGTCCGCAACTGCTTCGTCCTTGGGCTTTCCAGAATCAACTGTCTCCAGCAATGCCAGATACGATATCTTTTCTTTAATCTGCACCAGCATCCAATATTTCAAGAAAATTACTGGCAGTAACAAACATACTAATTAACAGATAAACATCCATTAATCAAAGCAGTGACAATAGGAAACTCTCTCGTGCTAACAAAAATTCCAGCTCTCTGTCTTCCATTTCAATGCAACAAGACAGCACAAATCTGGTAAACCTTACGCATGCTACATGTATATATGAAATTGATGCCAAATGCAAAGATCTATATGTAGAGTGCCTTCACCATTGAAATTGGTGCGGTCCAACAGTTTCAAAATTGGTTTCATTGTAACAGAAACACCTTGTTCTGAATGAACAAACCTATCATCTTGCCAGCTTCCACTCCTTAGAGCTAAGCTTTTGTACCGGAGTATGACAGACTAACATGCCAAAATTAAGAACAATTTTCTGTTGCATATGATGCTGTGAGACTATCTCCTACCATACTTTAAAGTTTAAACATATGTAAAAAAAACAGTCATGTAGTTTGCAATAAAAAGAGTAACAAATCTGATAATTTTCAACAACTAGGCAAATGTCCAGCGTGATTGTGCAAAGTGTAGTAATGTATAGTGCGTGGAGTTTAAATCTCAGCAGGATTTGCTGTTTCCCAAGAGAAGGAGGGTGCCATCCCTCAATATCGTGATTGGATGCTGAATTTGAATTCCTACTTTGAAAACAGACTGAAGTTGGTACATTTAATTCATCGTAATGGAACATCTTCGCAAACCACATGATACAGAGGATTAGTGGAGCCATCAACCAGGTATGCACCCTCCATCTCTGGATTACGAACAATGGTATTGCACTTTATTTTCGGAACTTTTTTTGGGGCAACTTCTTTTCGGAACATACTTGTAAGTTGCAAGTCATTGCTAACCAACTACCAAACCTAATAAGACTTTTATGAAAGGATCCATCAACCCAAGGATCTGATGTTTTTTCTAACTAGCGACAGTTTCTAGCACTTATAGAGCTCATTTGATGCAATAAAGATGTATAATCCGACTAGATCAAACTTTTCTAGTACAAGATATGTGCAGCACTAAGGGCATCCTGTCTGTCCTGCAGCCCCCAAGACCAGCTTCACTCACATGGCGATGAGATAATGGTAACTCCACAACTCTGTGAGAACATGTAATACATGTAATACATCTAACTTTTGTGAGAACATGTAATACATCTAACTTGAGGGAGATTAAACTGGCCTCATATTCAGAGAAACATAAGAGATGGGCACCTTAGCGGCGATCGCGTTCAGATACTTGGCCCGCGTCGCCCCGGAAGCGCGCGCCCAGCGGCTCCCGCCATCGAGCAAGAACGCAGATCGAGCCGCCGCGACGGCGAGCTCGACGTCCTCCGCGGTGGCTGCCGGGATGTCACCTTCACGGATCACCAACCACACAGCAAACCAACAAAGCTGAAGTCAGTACGGTACTGAATACTGATACAGCATAGGAGTAGTACCGGTAGCGCCCGGCACATAGAAAACGATGTGGCGGAAGTGCAGAGGGGGGCGGCGAAACGAACCGATGGTGTCCTCGGTGGCCGGGTTGATGACGGGGATGCGGCGGCCCAGGGTGGGCTCGCGCCACCCGCCGCCGATGAAGAGGCCGCGGCGCGGGATCGCTGGGGGCGCAGCCATGGCTACTCTGCTTCGGCGAGGTGGACGGCCGTGCTGGGTGGTGGTGCCGTGCCGTAGTAGGAGGTGAGTAGGAGTGTGGGGGCGGAGCGAGGTCTAGTGCTGTGCTGCGGTGGCTGGCTCCTGCTGCTTTTGCCTTTAGGTGGGGGTGAGCGAGCACGTTTTCTCGTGATCCCGGCGATCTCAGCCGGCCCCGCAAGCCGGAAGTGTTGGCCGCGTCGCTATCCTCCACGCCTCTCGCCCCGGAATTAATTAGTGCCGATCATCCGGGATGGGTCTCTTTTCCTCTCCGTGACCCACCGGGGCGTGGCCAAGTTGTCGCACGCGCGCGTCGTGTACTCGCGCGTGGCGCGGAAGGAACGCACACACGTACATATGCTTTGCTCGTGTTGGGTGGGCGTCCCAGTCCGTTGGCGCCGTCACTACCAGCGCCACCTAACATTCAGGATCAGTCGCCTTTTACAGCGCGGCTGCCTGATCAGACATCAGAGCACAGACCACATGCGGATCGTCGTTCCAAACCAGATCAAGGCACTTCCCTCAAGAAAAAAAAAAGAGATCAAGGCACTGCTGGGAAAGATTCTCATACTGATTTTGATGTTTAAAGTATTTCGCCTACCCCAAAAATTTCGAGTTCAAGCGTGGGCATTGCACGCACGCACGGGCGCTGCTCGTCTTGTCGTTCGTTCTGAACTCGTTCCCGTGCAGCAGGGTCTGAGATTTTGTTCTCTTCTACGTGTCACACAGCGCTAGATGTTCGATGCCATGGGAATGATCGAGTCCCACTTCCCGGGGAGGGTAACATGGTGAGAGGAGACCGATGCAAAGGGTGCATTCAACGTCATTGGATCACCTTTTCCTGAGCAAAGCGTGTGGGTAGATTATTTATCTTCTTGATAGGAACGTCAGGTTCTTTTTAAGTTATTTATTCATAAGAAAAACTCAGACGACTGGTTTTCATTTCAAAATGGTCGCTAATATTAGGGCTTCTTTGATTCGCATAATTCTAAAAACGCGGCAATAGAAAAAAATAGAATTGAAATGTCATTCTCATTCCTCGTAAAAAAAATGTCATTCTCATCTCAGCGAGCATTCGGTTTGGAGAAAATCAAAACATAGGAAGTAAGAAAATGACAAGATATCACTTTTTTCAGTAAAAGATGAATTTTATTGACTTAGGTGGAGCATCAAAAGGATGCAAATACAATGAGCACACATCCAACCTCTGCATAGTTAGGATGCATACAACCAATATCAACGCACACTCACAAAAAACACACCGACAAATAGCAAAGTCATGTAAGACCAAAGCTATGTATAGACAAGGAAAAAAGAACCCCAAAACGTTAAATCCGTGACCGGCAAACTACAACAAGGACCATACCCACATCGATCATCACATGAAATCACACGGACGACGAGGTTCTTCAACTGACACATGTCGGACCTAGGCTTTCACCCCAGAGCTCGAGAACGTGTGCTCGAGTAGCACCACCATCGATGTCGCTTGTGTGTTGCCGCCACCACTTTTCTGCCATCTCAATAGCTAAATGTGATGTGCGACCGCTGTTGCTGCACAACCATCCCAATGTGTCAAGTTATCCTCTATAGTTTGCAACTCCCCGCCGAAGTCAACCACCGGATCTAAAGAGAGGACCCTCACGAACACCTTCTGGTGGTCGTCGCAGTTCGCACAGAGTTCGCCGCCGCAGTCCAAAGTGGCGTAGATGGTGGAGCCGCAAGATCTGCCACTACAGATGACCCCCAAGGCCATGTCGCGCCATCATTACGGAGCCCCGCTGGATTAGCACCCCTCCCAAACGCCTCCTGTTGGGGATATGACTATTAGGTATGATCCGCCCAGGAGGGGCCGGGTTATACCTATGGCGGTTCATCAATATGAAGCCCATGAGGATATTGAAGATGGTGGTTCATGAAGCAAGGTCCCAAGGCCCAAGGGTCGACTTAAGTGTTGGTGGACGTAGCAGAAATTCAAAATTTTCCTACAAGTCACCAAGATCTATCTATGGAGAGACTAGCAACGAGGGGAAGGAGAGTGCATCTACATACCCTTGTAGATCGCTAAGCGGAAGCGTTCAAGAGAACAGGGTTGAAGGAGTCGTACTCGTCGTGATCCAAATCACCGGAGATCCTAGTGCCGAACGGACGGCACCTCCGCGTTCAACACATGTACAGCCCGGTGACGTCTCCCATGCCTTGTTCCAGCAAGGAGAGAGGGAGAGGTTGAGGAAGACTCCATCCAGCAGCAGCACGACGGCGTGGTGGTGGTGGAGGAGCGTGGCAATCCTGCAGGGCTTCGCCAAGCACCGCGGGAGAGGAGGAGGACTTGGGAGAGGGGGAGGGCTGCGCCAGAACTTTGTGTCAAGCTCCCATGCGCCTCCCCACTATATATAGGGGTGGAGGGGCTGGTTTCTTGCCCTCCAAGTCCATTGGGGCGTTGGCAAAGGTGGGAGGAAAGAAATCGCATCATTTCCTTCCCCACCAATTGTTATCCCCCCTTTTTAGGGATCTTGATCTTATCCCTTCGGGATATGATCTTATTCCTTCTAAGGGGGGATCTTGGTGCGCCTTGACCAGGGGTGTGGGGCCTTTCCCCCACTACCCATGTTCATGTGGGTCCCCCCATGCAGGTGGGCCCCACTCTGGAACCTTCTAGAACCTTCCCGGTACAATACCGAAAAATCCCGAACATTTTTCGGTGGCCAAAATAGGACTTCCCATATATAAATCTTTACCTCCAGACCATTCCGGAACTCCTCGTGACGTCCGGGATCTCATCCGGGACTCCGAACAACATTCGGTAACCACATACAAACTTTCTTTATAACCCTAGCGTCATCGAACCTTAAGTGTGTAGACCCTACGGGTTCGGGAGACACGTAGACATGACCGAGACAACTCTCCGGCCAATAACCAACAGCGGGATCTGGATACCCATGTTGGCTCCCACATGTTCCATGATGATCTCATCGGATGAACCACGATGTCGAGGATTCAATCAATCCCGTATTCAATTCCCTTTGTCTAGTGGTATAATACTTGCCCGAGATTCGATCGTCGGTATCCCGATACCTTGTTCAATCTCGTTACCGGCAAGTCTCTTTACTCGTTCCGTAACACATCATCCCGTGATCAACCCCTTGGTCACATTGTGCACATTATGATGATGTCCTACCGAGTGGGCCCAGAGATACCTCTCCGTCACACGGAGTGACAAATCCCAGTCTCGATTCATGCCAACCCAACAGACACTTTCGGAAATACCCGTAGTGTACCTTTATAGCCACCCAGTTACGTTGTGATGTTTGGTACACCCAAAGCATTCCTACGGTATCCGGGAGTTGCACAATCTCATGGTCTAAGGAAATTATACTTGACATTAGAAAAGCTTTAGCATACGAACTACACGATCTTTGTGCTAGGCTTAGGATTGGGTCTTGTCCATCACATCATTCTCCTAATGATGTGATCCCATTATCAACGACATCCAATGTCCATGGTCAGGAAACCGTAACCATCTATTGATCAACGAGCTAGTCAACTAGAGGCTTACTAGGGACATGGTGTTGTCTATGTACCCACACATGTATCTGAGTTTCCTATCAATACAATTATAGCATGGATAATAAACGATTATCATGAACAAGGAAATATAATAATAATAACTAATTTATTATTGCCTCTAGGGCATATTTCCAACAGTCTCCCACTTGCACTAGAGTCAATAATCTAGTTCACATCGCCATGTGATTAACACTCACATGTCACATCTCCATGTGACCAACATCCAAAGAGTTTACTAGTGTCACTAAACTATTTCACATCATCATGTGATTAAGACTCCATGAGTTCTGGGGTTTGATCATGTTTTGCTTGTGAGAGAGGTTTTAGTCAACGGGTCTGCAACATTCAGATCCGTATGTACTTCGCAAATCTCTAGGTCATATGGTAAATATTGCTTCCATGCTCCACTTGGAGCTATTCCAAATGGTCGCTCCACTATACGTATCTGGTTTGCTACTCAGAGTCACTCGGATAGGTGTTAAAGCTTGCATCGACGTAACCCTTTACGCCGAACTCTTTATCACCTCCATAATCGAGAAACATGTCCTTATTTACTCCAAGGACAATTTTGACCGATGTCCAATGATCCATTCCTGGATCATTCTTGTACCCCTTGACTGACTCATGGCAAGGCACACTTCCGGTGCGGTACACAACATAGCATACTATAGAGCCTACGTCTGAAGCATAGGGGACGACATTCGTCCTTTCTCTCTCTTCTGCCGTGGTCGAGCTTTAACTCTTAACTTCATACCTTACAACTCAGGCAAGAACTCCTTCTTTGACTGATCCATCTTGAACACCTTCAAGATCATGTCAAGGTATGTGCTCATTTGAAAGTACCATTTAGCGTTTTTTTGATCTATCCTCATAGATCTTGATGCTCAATGTTCAAGTAGCTTAATCCAGGTTTTCTATTGAAAAACACCTTTCAAATAACCCTATATGCTTTCCAGAAATTCTACATCATTTCTGATCAACAATATGTCAATAACATATACTCATCAGAAATTCTATAGTGCTCCCACTCACTTCTTTGGAAATAGAAGTTTCTCATGAACTTTGTATAAACCCAAAATCTTTGATCATCTCATCAAAGCGCACATTCCAACTTCGAGATGCTTACTCCAGTCCTTAGAAGGATCACTGGAGCTAATGCAACCTTTTCTTATGATTGACAAAACTTTTCTGATTGTATCACATACAACCTTTCCTTATGAAAACTGGTAAGGAAACTCGTCTTGACATCCATTTGCCAGATTTCATAAATGCAGCTAATGCTAACATGATTCCGACGGACTTAAGCATCGCTACGGATGAGAAAATCTCATCGTAGTAAACTCCTTGAACTTGTGAAAAACTCTTCGCCACAAGTCGAGCTTCATAGACGGTGACATTACCGTCCACGTCCGTCTTCT